TGCTTTATTTCAGTTTTGCAGAGAAAGAGGAGAGAATGGGGCTAAGTTCTTTCTAGTGCCAGTGAGAAATTTTCAGTTGGCCAATATTCTAATTTCTGGGACATTCTTTCCCAGTCTGAAATAACACTTTAATTTATATGTATTTCAGCAAGGTATCTTTTTAAGTTCATTATTTTAGCTATATGGTTCTTATTTTCATACTTCATCTGCTACATGGCATCAGCCATTAGTCTCAATACCTGGGTTAATATCAGTATGATTTATTGACATACCACTTTTCATCCTGACTTGGACATCTGATTTGTGAGATAGTTATTTATGATATATAATTGGACCCCTCTGCATTTTCTGTGCAAATGAAGACATACATTTATTTGTTTCAATATGTCATAAAACAGTTATCTCCATAACATATTCTTTGTCTAATGATTATGCTATATGGCTATGGTTACCTATTCAACTTTTTTACTGGTAATTAGTCCATTTGATTTTATGTTTTTCATGAGTCAGTCTTGGAAAGCTGTACATTTCTAGGACTGTGTTTATTTCTTCTAGGTTGTCCAGTTTATTGGCATATATTTTTTCATAGATTTCTTTAGTAAACAGAGCAATAATGCTAATAACTACCTAACAGTAATTTCATGCTATTTAATGACTTTCTAAGTGTAATTCTATTTTTACATGCTACAAGAAAAATTACAAAACAGTACAAATTATAATTAAATTCCTTACAGCAAGCCATAAAGATTGAATTTACATCATTGCAGTATTAGATAACAGTAAAAATTAATTTTTCCATTACATTATTTTATATGTTTATCTGCATAGTCATGCTCATATTTCTCTCATTAACATTCTGCGAGCTTCATTTATCACTCCTCATAATGGCAAGAACTCATACTGAAGACTGTCTCCAGTGAGGTGAAAGAACAATAAATAAGTAAATAAATATGTGCAGCTACATCAAACAAAAACCACACAACAAAGTATGTCATCAATAAAATAAAATGGCAATCTTTTCAATGGGAACATATATTTTTAAATGATATATCTGACAAGAGTTTAAAATTTAAAATACCTAAAATTACTTAGTATGCAAGATCAAAGAAAACAATCTGATATAAAAAAGGTCAGAGAACCTCAAAAGACTTTTTTTTCAAAGGCATGCAGGTGACCAACATGAAACTATGCTCGGCATCACTAATCATCAAGAAAATGCAAATCAAAACCACAGTGGATATACTTTACTGAGGATGGGTATTAGCTCTTTAATGTTTAATAGATTTCAACTGTGAAGCCACCTGCTACTGATATTTTGTTTATTGGGAGATTTTTGGTTACCTATTCAACTTTTTTACTGGTAATTAGTCCGTTTGATTTTATGTTTTTTCCTGAGTCAGTCGTGAAAAGCTGTGCATTTCTAGGACTGTGTTTATTTCTTCTAGGTTGTCCAGTTTATTGTCATATAATTTTTTATAGATTTCTTTAGTAAATATTTGTATTACTGTGGTTTCAGTTGTAATTTTTCCTCTTTAATTTCTGAGTTTGTTAATTTATGTCCTTTTTAATTGATAAATTTGGCTAGTGACTTTTAAATCTTTTCAAACAACCAGCTCTTGGTTTCACTGTTTTCACTATTTTATTATTCTCTATTTTATTTTTTTCTGCTCTGATGTTTATCATTCCCTTCTACTAACTTTGGGTTTCATTTTTTTCTTCTTTTTCTAGTTTCTTTTCTTTCTTCTTTTTCTAGCTTCTTTAGCTGTGAGGTTAGGCTTTTCATTTGGGTTTTTCTTCTTGTTTCTTGAGATAGGTCTGCATTGCTATATATATTTCCCTTTTATAACTTCTTCTGTGGCTTCTCACAGATTTTGAACTGCTGTATTTTTTTTATTTCTCTGCATGACTTGCTGGATCTCTTCTTTGGCTTTTTCATTGATTAGGTAGAAAAATGTTGTTCAGTCCTCAATTGCTTGTAGGCTTTTTTTTTTCTTTAAGTACTTGATTTCTAGCTTTATATCATTTTAATCTGAAAAGATGTTTGATACAGTTTCAATCTTTTTTATTTTACTGAGATATTTTTTGTATCCTAATATTTTATCTATTCATATTCATCTGAGAAAAATGTGTGTCCTGCTGCTTTTGGGTGGAAGGATATGTATATATCTGTAAAGTCCATCTTCTCTAATGTGTCTTTCAACATCTCTGTTTCCTTATTTTCTGTCCAGATGATCCATCTTTGATGTAAATGGGGTGTTAAAATCTTCTAATATGAATGAATTGCTGTCTATTTCCACATTGGTGTCTTGTCACATTTGTTCTATATTTTTAGGTGCCCTGTGCTGAGAGCGTAGATAAGTTATATCTCTTGTTAGAGTGATTCCTTTATCATAATGTAATTCCCTTATTTGTCTCTTGTTGCTTTCCTTGTTTTGAAGCCTATTTTTTCAGATGCAAGTACTGCTATTCCTTCTACTTTCTCCCATATATTTGTATGAAATATCTTTTTCCATTGCTTCACTTTTAGTCTATGTATGACTTTATGTCTGAAACGGTCTCTTGTATCAGCATGTAGATGGGTCTTCTTTCTTTTTCTATTCTGCCACCTTATATGTTTTGATGGTGCATTTCAGTCCTTTGATATTAAAGGTAATTATTGTTAGGTATATACTTATTGCCATTTAATTAATTGTTTTCTGGTTGCTTTTGTAGTTCATCTCTCTTTCTTTCTTCCTTTCATACTGTTCTCTTCTTATTTGGTGGTTTTCTTTGGTGTTATGCTTCAATTTTTTTTCTTTCTTTCAATATTTTGTGTTGTCTGTTAAAGGCTTTCAGTTTGTGGTTACCATAAGGTTCATAGATACTTTCTAAATATCTAACAGTTTATGTTAAGTTATGAACATAACAGTTTATAACAGTTTATGTGTTACTCTATTTTGAACACAACCTGAAAGTACTATTTTTCATTCTTCTTCCTCCTCCACACTTTGTGTATGACATGTCATAATTTACATCTTTTGTTTATGCCTTGACTGATTTTGTGTAAAGTTGGTTTTATTGCTTTTGTTTTTCTTAACTTCATTCTTGTGTAGTAAGTAATTGGTCTACACTTACTATAGGATTTACTATTTACTATTTATCCTGTTTACTATAGGGTTATTTTCACTGTTGAAAATTACATAGGTTAATAACATTTCTATTTACAGCCTTTAATATAGCTGGTTTAGTGGTAGGGAATTCTTTAACCTTCATTTATCTGGGAAACTTTTTTTCTCAACTTCAATTCTGAATGATCTACCTGTGGGTAGAGAATTCTTGGTTGTAGGTTCCTCCCTTTTAATATATTAAATATTTATTGCTACTCCTTTCTGGCCTGTAAAATTTCTGCTCAGATGTCTGCCGATAGCCTTATGGAGTTTCCCTTATATTTAACTGTCTTCCTCACTCTTGCTGCTTTTAAAATTCTCTTCTGATCTTTAATCTTTGCCATTTTAATTACATATGTATTGGTGTTTTCTCCCTAGTGTTCCTTTTATTAGGAGATCATTGTGCTTCCAGGATCTAAGAGTCTATTTCCTTCCCCAGATTGTGGAGGTTTTCAATGATTATTTACTCAAAGAGATTTTCTACTTCTTTTTATCTCATCCTTCTGGAACCCTATAACATCACTATTGTTGCATTTAAAGTTGTCACACAGCTCTCTTAGCATCTTCTCATTCTTAGAAATTTTTTATTATCTGTGTTTGTCAGCTTGGCTACTTTCCTGTTCTCTATCTTCCATCACATTGATTATTTCCTCTCTTCCATCAGTCTATATTCATTCCCTCTATTCTATTTTTCATTTCAGTTATTGTATCCTTTAGCTCAGAGTCACTCTTGTTCATATTTTCTATGTCTTTGCTGATGTTTTCACTGAGATCATCAATTATTTTCCACAGTTCAGTGAACATCTTTATGACTGTTACTTTGAAATCTTCCTCAAGATGATTGCTAATTTCTCTTGCATTTGGCCCTATGTAGGTGTGTTAATCCTGTCTTTTGTTTGTTACATATTCCCCTGCCTCCTAATTTGGTCTGGGTTCCTGTATTTCTTCATTTGTCCTAGATAGAACAGCTATGCCTCCTTGTCTAGAATGCTGTGGCTGTCTGAAGTATGCATCCTGTGGTGCCCAGGAGCTGAAGACCAGTGCCTGGTTTCCTTTTGCAGGGGATCTGTGTTCCTGTGCTGTGGGTAGGGCCCACCTCTCTGCCTTCCTGTCAGTAGTAGGAGATCGCTGTCAGCATGGGCTGGTGGCTCTCCTCTGCCAGCCCTTTCTGTGATGTGAGAAGTTTCTACTGGGATTCCTTTTGGGCAGCTCCACCCTCTGCCTGCTGGTCAGCAACAGTGGTCTACTGATGGTCCTAGCAGGCCAGGCAGGACCGGGGCACAGGAAATAAACCCAGATTAGATATCAAAGTTCTACAGCATTCATGTACTCTATCCTCTTCACTTTACAATGAAAAGAACGAAGGCCAGAGAGGGAGCAAAAATCTCCTAAGTTTAAAAAAAAACACATTCATTAGAGTGATTTTTGAAAAAAAAATAAATGACCTTTAGTCCTTTTCCAGTTATGACATCTTAACACCATGTTGGACTTACTTTATTTTTGCATAGAGAAAATGTGTTTAAGAAATCAACCAACATCACGTGAGCCAGCGTTCTTCCCCGCGAGGCGTCCTGCTGCTGCCTGGGGACTGCAGTCTGCTCACCGCACTTACCCAGTAGGACAGTCCGGTGAGGCCCCTTCTGCGGGGACGGGAGTGAGGCGAGAGCCCGCGGTGGGGTCCGCCCGCTGCCGTCTGCGTGAGCGGGGCGGCTGCGCCGTGGAATCCGAGTCGGCGGCCTTGGAGAAGCGGCGGGCCGCGCGGCGCCCAGGCTGGTTGCGGAGGGGGGGGAGTGTCGGTCAGTTTGAGATCCGTGGCTGCTCAGGACGGGAGCGTCAACAGCAGCACCGTGGCTCAACAGAAGAACCGTGAATGCTAGGTGGGATTTGCAAATCTCCCAGGTCAAGTATACAGAAAATCAGTGAAGAGAGGGTATGAATTCACACTTATGGCTGTGGGTGAATCTGGACTGGGAAAGTCAACATTAATCAACTCATTATTCCTCACAGATTTGTATTCTTCAGAGTATCCAGGTCCTTCTCATAGAATAAAAAAGACTGTACAGGTGGAACAATCCAAAGTTTTAATCAAAGAAGGTGGTGTTTAGTTGCTGCTCCAATAGTTGATACCCCAGGATTTGGAGATGCAGTGGATAATAGTAATTGCCGACAGCCTGTTACTGACTACATTGATAGTAAATTTGAGGACTACCTAAATGCAGAATCTCGAGTGAACACACAGCAGATGCCTGATAACAGGGTGCAGCGCTGTTTATACTTCATTGCTCCTTCAGGACATGGACTTAAACCATTGGATATTGAGTTTATGAAGCATTTGCATGAAAAAGTGAATATCATTCCACTTATTGCCAAAGCAGACACCCTCACACCAGAGGAATGCCAACAGTTTAAAAAACAGATAATGAAAGAAATCCAAGAACGTAAAATTAAAATATATGAGTTTCCAGAGACAGATAATGAAGAAGAAAATAAGCTTGTTGAAAAGATAAAAGACCGTTTACCTCTTGTTGTGGTAGGTAGTAATACTATCATTGAATATAATGGCAAACGGATCAGAGGAAGACGTTGTGTGTTGCTGAAGTTGAAAATGGTGAACATTGTGATTTTACAATTCTAAGAAGTATGTTGATAAGAACACACATGCAGGACTTGAAAGATGTCACTAAAAATGTACACTATGAAAATTACCTGAGCAGAAAACTGGCAGCTGTGACTTATAATGGAGCTGATAATAGCAAGAATGAAGGGCAGCTCACCAAGAGCCCACTTGCACAAATGGAAGAAGAAAGAAGGGAGCACGTAGCTAAGATGAAGAAAATGGAGATGCAGATGGAGCAGGCGTTTGAGATGAAGGTCAAAGAAAAAGTTCAAGAACTGGACTCTGAACCTGAGCTCCAAAGGCGCCATGAGCAAATGAAAAAGCATCTGGAAGCCCAGCACAAAGAATTAGAGGAAAAACGTCGTCAGTTTGAAGATGAGAAAGCAAACTGGGAAGCCCAACAACGTATTTTAGAACAACAGAACTCTTCAAGGACCTTGGAAAGAACAAGAAGGGGAAGATCTTTTAAACCCGCGATTGACCACCACTTACATATTAATTGTCAGTATTCCAGCTTGGACATCGGTGTTTGCTGGATCCGTTTGACCAATCTGCACCAGTTTAATCCATAATGATGGATTTAAAAGCATGACAAAATTATTATATTTTGTTCTTGATGGAGAGTAAGATGTCTTGAATTATCTAGGGTGTTGTGTACTCAGAAACTAACAGCTCTAAGTACCTTTCCTACATTCTCTTTTGTTTTTTATTAAACAGATGTCTTCAATTTAATGCAAGAAAACATTGTACTGTTGTACAATCATGTTCTGGTGGTTTGACTGTTTACAGGATATTCCAAAATAAAAGAACTCTGGAAGGTTTTCATTGAAGATAAATTGCCATAATATGATGCAAACTATGCTTCTCTATAATAAATAAAATACAAAGGTTCCATTCAATGCAGCATATATAATAATGCAATTTAGTCTAACACAGTTGAACCTATTTTTTGACACTTCCATTGTTAAAAAATACACATGGAAAAAAGATCCTATATGCTTACAATGCACCTAGAGCTGTTTTATAACAATCTTTTTTTGTATGTTTGTTTTGGATTCTTTAAATATACATTCTCATTTAGTACCCTCTTTATTCAGAATCTCATTACTGCTTCATTTTCTTTTATAATAACATTTAATTTAGGTATTTTCCATATATTGGTCCTGCTAAAATAGAATATAGCATCTTTCATATGTTATGAAACAAAAAGAATTTTCCTTTAATTCCGTTTTTATACTTCATGGTAAGAAGCAGGGGGGAAATGCATTTATAGTTCATTTCTAGGCAAAACTGTGAAGCTAACCACCAACCTATTCCTACCTATGTGCAGTCTCTTTATTTTACTAGAATTGGGAATCATGACCTCTTGAAAGGGAAAAAAAGTTACCATTCTACATTTAACAGTATTCATATATACATTTCTGTATTTTTTTTTGTTTGTAATGTAAGAATTTCACATGAACAATGTTGTGATGTAAAAAAAAAGTCCAGTGTGGTGGCTTTTATTGTCTATTCCACTTATCTACCAGTCTATTTAGTTACCTGTCAGTGCCCTTGTCAAACTAAAGCAATTTAATAACTAGTTTGATGTCCTTTATCCGAGGGAAGCAGTCCGTGGTCTGAGGGAGCGTAGTGCTCGCAAGCAGTGGAGCACCTCCCAAGGGATTTTGGGTAAAAGCAAGTGTTACAGAGCATTGGAAGGGGAGTAGGGCATGATCGGCTGAGGATTCATATCTGGCATCATTTTAAAATGTCAAGGGACGTAGAGCCCAGAGAGGACCTGGCATGTGGATATCAGTGGACTGGATATAGTGTGTTCCTGGTCAAGAAGAACATTTGTAAGAACATGAAACTTCACTTTGCTGACTTGAAACTCCAGGCAGATGTGGCTCCATTTGGGGCCAAAAATTTATTTCAACACCATCTATCCTTATCATTCTAATGTGCTTTAATATGTAAAAATATGCTCAACCAAAAGGACACAGAATAAAAAATGATGAAAAATCAGTTTATAAATAATCTATATGAGCTATTTTAAAAACAATTACATCTGGGCAAATTGCAAAAGCAGACTTGAATGAATAGATAAAAAAACTCCTTGATGCTTGAGAAGATGCAAAATTGTGAAGATGCTCTTTCTTATGACAAAATGACTTGATTACTATAAAATAGAGCTGTCAACAACAGATACAGAAATTTTTTTTAACAGCATTCAGCTTGCTACTCAATGGGAGAGACCAAAGGGAAAATTACAGGTTTAATGTAATCATGTTTAAATCAGGCACCCAGTATTGAGGCTTTTTGATGCACCCCTTCCTTATCTTCTCTAAATTATAACTATGACCATCATCTGTGGATAGTATTTATGAATTCACTAAAGACTTTAAAAACCATATGAAGATTGTACATTAATATTCAAAAAGATTGGAACACAGGTCTTATTTTGATGGAATTTATAAAGCAAGGGAAAGCAGTCAGTATCTTCAAAATTAAGTCTCTTCATATTTAGAGGACTTCCCACTGTCGTTGCTAAGCCGTCTCCCCTGAGGCAGGACATTGTTCCGCTCAGGCTGTAGGATTTGCTTATTCTTCTTCCTGGAGTCTGTTTATATGAATAAAATTTAAATTTATAGAAGTCAATGAAATACTCTTTTACACTTTTCTTCATGTAGATCTGCAGCAATACCAAAACTACTTTCTGAATAATGAAGCAAATGGCCCTAATCTGTAGTATCTTGGCTATGCATTGGCATTCTAATGAGAAAGCCATATATTTTAATGTTGTCCAACAGGGAAAATGGGTGCAGTTTTCTAGGCTGAGCACAACTTTCTAGTATATTTGATACTGCCAGTCAGGGTTTATGATAAAAATAGATATCAGGGCCCTGACACGTTCAATGACAATTCTTTATTTCCCCTCCCTCTTCTTGGTTTCTCTGACAGCTGAATTTACGTAAATGAATAGATAGGTCCTAGGAAAAAGAAGTTAAATTTCTTAGAGACTTTATAATTGTGAAAAATTAGTCCTTCTAGATAGAAATAGAAAAGATAATGAAATGCAGTGATGCTGGTGTTTTTCTGACTTGATGAGGCCTGTAGGGCTTCCCACACATCCTGCCCTGAGAAGGGGAACAGCATGGGGTCCTGAGGTGAGCCAGGAGCCATGGTGCAGGGGCCCTGTGGCTTTAGATGATCAAATTCAACCCCCTGAGATGCTTTAATACCTCCCCTGAGAACCTCACTCGCCGTGACCCGACTTCCTTTAAATGAAGCATTGCGACACTATGAAAATGATTTCAGAAAATTAATGAAGTTGAAAAAATATTTTCACACATGGCACTATTCACTGCCATTGTCTTTTTATCTCCCAGAAATCAGAGGACTCCAAGAAGAAGCAAAGCCTAAGATCCAGCCAAGGTAGGCTTTCTCATCTCAACAGGTAATTATAAACATTGGAGGTTCATTTTAGAACCAAATACTGAATATTCTTATCCTAAAGTTGCTTTTCATGTTTGCTCTCATTTCTGCATGAGCTTCCAGAAAATATTGGAAATATTTAGGTGAATAATAATAAGCTAAAACGTTTTGGATTTGATGTTCTTTGTTATTTAGAGACACGCCTAAATTGATCCACGAGAAATTAATCAAAAGGTAAGTCGTGAAAAGATTAATTTTAACAACAATTTAAGGAGTTTTTGACTTGAGGGTTTTAATAGTTAATTAAAAGCATTCAATATGCTGAAAATCAGCTTTGAGGGGAAAAAAACATTGAGCACATCTGAAATAAAGATGGTGCTAGAAAATCTATTTAGTTTTATCTCAGAAATTTGGCAAGCTCATAGGTTTTGCAAAAATGTGCATATTCTCTATTTGTAACAATAAACATAATCTATTTTAGATACTTTCAGAAGTTGTTTGTCTAAGAATATTGGTAAGTGATAACATTCTAATTGTTACTACCTTTTTCAAAATTTCTGGTATTTTTTTTCTTTTTTTTTGCAGGATACAGTCTGTATTTTGTCTTTTCTCAGAAAAGGATATCTTCATCCTCCTTGAAATATGAACTTGTTGCTTAATTTTCCCTAGAAATAATAGCTCCATTCATTTACAATGAAGATTTATTCTCTTAAGATACGTTCTCCTTACTTAAAAAGATAAGAAATAGGGTGAGCAGATTGTGTGTCTGATTGTGAAGAGAAGTAGTCCTGTCTACCTCCTGCGAACACATTTTCTTTATTTTTCATCTCTTACTACGACTGTATTTCCAACTCTGCCTTATGATTTATCCATTCTCTTCATTTTCTTTACATTTTGCTCTTTTTCTCTTTATAGCATGAAATAGATTAATTCAATTAATATATTATCTGTTAGTGGGTCATTTTCTTGCCATAGTGTTTATTAAATTGAACTTTGTACTAATAATCTCCACTTTTCATTGTTGCATTCTCAAATTTGTGTTGCTTACAGATAAACCCTTTATATTTGCTGTAGAATCAACGTAAAAAGCAAATGATCTGCAATGTAAAACTGATATATAATAGTTACTTTTAGTTCAATTAATTTAGCAACAATGAAACATTTGCCATTTAGTAATACATAGTATGAATCAACTCCATTATAATTTTGCTATTCAATTAAGCTTTATAGATGTATATATGCTGTTAAAAAAGAGATAACATCACCACCTTTTCTCAACAAAAGAGAGCACATATGTATGATGTGGTCTCACTTTAGAGCCAGCCCACACCCTACAAACTGATAAAGTGCAGATTTCAGACAATGTCTTGAAGAACTGTAAGAAATGTGTAGTCTTCAAAAATTAGAGCTTTAGGGAAGCCTGTAAATATTATTACATTTCTCTACCCCACAGGAGGCATGGTAGAGGCAAGGACATTGGCCAACCTCACAGCAGTGATGGGATTCTTCCTGGTGGAATTCTCTGACACCAGAGAGCTCCAAGTTCTACATGCCTTTCTTTTTTTACTGATTTACTTGGCAACACTGTTGGGAAACATTCTCATTATTGTGCATGTGACCATGGACCAGTGTGTTCACACCCCGATGTACTTCTTCCTGAAGAATTTGTCCTTCTTTGACCTCTGCCTTATTTCCACCATTGTTCCAAAATCCATTCTCAACTCTCTGTCCAAGAACACCTCTATTTCTTTCCCCGGATGTGTATTGCAGGTCTTACTGGTGATAAACTTTGCAGGGTCTGAGGTGTCCATCCTCACCGCCATGTCCTATGACCGCTATGTGGCCATCTGCCACCCCCTGCACTATGAGGTCATCATGAACAAGACAGCATGTGGGAAGTTGGCAGCTGCCTCCTGGGTCCTTGGAGGATTCTTTGGAGGTCTATATGCGACTGGCACTTTCTCTTTATCTTTCTGTGGTTCCAGAAGAGTCCCACAATTTTTCTGTGATGTTCCCTCATTATTAAAGATTTCTTGCTCTAAAGATCATATCACTATTAATGTCAGTGTGGCCATTGGGATATTTTATGGGTTTTTTTGTTTACTTGCCATTGTTTTCTCATACATCTATATTTTCAATACAGTGCTAAGGATCC